CCTAAATTAAAACCTTCTTAATTAAGACATGTGTTTATCATTGCCAAACCAAGTAAAAACTAATTAACTTATCTAATCCAGTACTTGTCATGAGATAGGATGACTGAGACTACAAAGGGAAAAGTAGTAAAGATTTGTCAAGAGAAGCAAACAATGAAAAGAGAAGAAAAGTGTTAGTAAAACTCAGCTAAACAACTCACATGCCTCAAGTCGAGAAGCCAAACACTTACCAGATGTTACATGAGAAGTGCTTAGGAGAAGCGACAGACTTGCCGAGAAAGATGTCAACAATATAAAAAAAAATTTTTTTAAAAAACTTTTTTCTTCTCTATTTCTTTATTTATTTAAAATATTAATACTTTGTTGCACTATCTTGGACCTCAATACATATCTGAATTTGACAGGACATATTTTCAATTAATTTATAAATATAATCAAGTGAAATTAAATGTCATGTAATTTTTACTTTGTACTCTAAATCATTAATATTTTTTGACTGGTTATATAAGTTATATATCTTTCTATCAACCTTATTTCAGATATTCTTAATTGGTTTAAGATCAAGACTTTGTGTAGACTAGGGTAGTATGGGAATGTCTGCCAACTCACAAATATCAGTAGTAATCTTTATACAATGGAAAGAAACATTATTCTTTTGAAGAGTCCCTTACAAGTGATTAATCTATGCAATGAAGGGATAGCATACTTCTACAATATTTTTAAAATATACTTTTTCTGTTATAGATTTACGAACCAGAATAAGTGACCTCAGCTTGCTTCATGAAAAACATTTCCAGAATATTTAGATAGAACTGTACTTTATCATAGCACTCAGATAAGAAGTATTGAATTCTTTCTTCAGTGTTCACCATACATGAAAGCTGTAACTATGCAAAAACTGACTGAATATAAACTCATCCAACCACATAATTTTTTACTACTTTGCAATAGTCCAGTTTTATTGCTTCAGTACTCAAGTTAACTATTTTTCTTGGTTTTTTTTTAAATTAGTGATTTGATACAGGAACACAAGAGTACAGACCAATATTTTTAAGGATATGTTGAATCATAACTACTAACATATTGGTTTTTTTTTATTCCATAGGTTCTTGATTCTATAGACAGAGATATAACAATGTTTGGCATTATCAGTGACAAGTTTTTTCAGCATGATTTGTATGCAAGAGTTAAATATTGGCTTCAGGTTATATATATTGCTAAAATTCATAGATCCTTGATGCAATTGATACAATTATTTGATGCAATTAATTAAGTCACTATTAAAACATATAAATAATTGAGTCATGATGCAATTATTTTTAAGGATTTTAAGAATTGAGTTAATAGCAAAATAATTTACACCACATGTATACTCCAGGTCATTACATTTTTGGGGTGTTGTAAATCCTGTTTCTTTATATTATTTTATAATAGTAAATGCAATGATCTTGCCATACTGAACACTTTTAGTGATTTTTTTATACAAATTATTATGTAAGTATTTATAAAGAATCATCCATATTGCTTAGTGATTAATTCTTTATTTTTTTAGTCATCATTTTAATAAATAAATCATATGTTAATAACGAAACTGCTTATAAATACAATAATAGAGGAGGGTGGAAAAAAATATAATTAAATAAATTATACTATGTGTAAATAAAAAAAAGTAAATAAATAAATAAAAACATAACTGTTCTGATATCTGTAATCACTCTCTGTAGATAAACCATATATAAATAATTAGATTAGAAGTGACTTACAATTAACTAAAACATTATAAAAAGGCTACAATTTCTTTTAGCTATAAAAAAAAAGACAATTATCATAATTATAAAATTCTGAATTCTTATATTTTCTTTAATTTTTTTTTAATAAAATTATATTTATTTCATATTTTTCTTTTATATTTTCTATTGTTTTTCTATTAAAATTCAATTTTTATATATTGTTATCTTTTGATTTCAATATCAAGGCAAAGTTGTGAAATTGATTGAAACAATAATTTTGAATTATTTATGTTAATTTATTTAATAGTGTTTGAAACAAAACATATATTGAATAAATTAAATTATTGAGAATTAAAAATTATTTTTATTGATAATTTTAAAGTCTGTCAAAAGAAAAACTGAAAGTTTCAATATATTTGATTGTAAATTTTATCTTCTTTTAATTTTTTTTGATATCTCTTTAAATATTTTCTTTTATTTATCTTTATTCTGTTTCTATTTTTTTTTATTTCATAGGAACACCTTGTTTACTGTAAATCTAAATTGATACAATTCTTATTTTATTCTCACTGTGACTATTTGTTATACATGCATTTGTGATGTGATATGTCCTTACTTTAATTTAACGACAATTTAATGTATTTATAAATTTTTATTGCAAACCATCAAATACTAAATAAAATTAACTTGATTAAAGACAATTTTTATTTTTAACTTTTAAATACGATCACTATTTTAATTAACTAAGACGTCACGTCCAAAGTTAATGTAACCAACGAATTCACAGAGGAATAGATCTATTGATACATTTATTTCAGATATAAATTTTCTTTTCAAAGAGTGCAAATATATGCACTCGACATTCTAGAAAGTATTTTTCTGTTTCTAAAAAAATATACAATTTGAATAAGAGAGAAATATTAAACACGAAATGAACTACATATAGATACAATTGAAGGTAGTAGTAAATGCGAAAGAATGCAAAATACTTCTACATAAAGATAAGAATGAACACCTCTTATATACTCTTACACGTACACCCCTAAAGAAGGTTCTATTTTTTCGGTGCAACATCATTTTCCAGCCATTCGAGAAATCTATCACGGTCAGCATCAAAAATCCTATCATCTTGATATATGTAATGACCTCTCTTTCCTCCGCTCCATTCACCTCTGATTTTTCCATCCCTTCCTCTAAAACCATACTCTTTCGCCATAAAACCATGCCGAAGGATATCATCTTTCTGCAATTTATCGATCTTAACGTTGATATCTCTTAAATTAATCCAAATGCATGCGTTTACAAAGATAGTTATAATTAATGCCCACGTTGATATAACCTTTGCGTTTGGTATCGTAAATAAGGAACTCAATAATGATTTTGAGGATGTAAATGTTACCAACATGGCTTTTGTGGTAAATTGAATAAGGCTAGATGCCTCGGTGGACGTTCGTCCATGTAGGAATGAATTTGTGGAGGGAAGCAGATTGGATTGCGAGATGTTTCTGGTGTTATAAGATAAATTAAATTGCGACGAATTTCTCGAGGAAGATCGAGAGATAATGCGACTGGAAATAAATGATGAACTGGGATTTTTAACGAGCGAAGGTGAATGCGACCGCAACTTGTGGTTTTTGGTTGGTGATGCCGTGGACGCCTCAGAGTCGGTATCCTCAACTTCTTCAATTTCAGGTTCTTGAAATTCGGAACGATTCTGTGAAATGTATTTTCTTACTGCTATCTCGAGGGCTTTGTAATATTCTAATTGACCTTCGATCGCACCTTTCTCAATTGGCCCTATAGAAGAGCGACGTAAATATTAGGATTTGATTTCTAAGAAGATGATGTAAAGCCATCTCAAAGATCGACGAACACATACCCTTTAGCCACGTAGATTTCAAAAATTCCACTGCTGCAGTAACAATCACACGAACCTTATTCCTTCCCCCCCACATAATACAGGTTCTGGTCTTTACGGAAAATGATCCACCAGATGGAACATCAGGTGTTTCGGTCGTTAACAGCATCACCACCGAACTAACAAAGTGTAGGTCGGAGATAAAGGTCAGTAGGGTTGAACAGATCAATGCAAAACCTTAAGAGTTTTGAAGAAATACTTGCTTGTCAAAATCGCGATACAGGCATTCTTCTTTCAAATAGCATTTTGTACTTTTCGGTCCTAAATGCATAAAAAGACGAGGTTAGGTTGCACGGTTGACGAATCCATAGAATATCACGATAGTTACTAACCAATTGAGTTATTTAATCGTTTTGTGAAACTCGCCGTGCGAACCAATTTACCGTTTTCAGCCGCCGTCCATTCGCCGAAAACCGTATCTATGTGAAAACAGGTGGTGTCAGACGAAAACATAATTCTCCGGTGAAATGAAGCATTTAAACCAAAGCACATACCGTCATTGTTCTCTAATTTACTGATGAATTCCGCGATGAAACCACTGGTACATAATAAATTATAAATCTTTTCGATGGTTCCAGTAAACGTTGTATCCATCATGACCTTGTCGTAATGTTGGTTCTTACTCAGACATTCGCACTGAGTTACCAAGTTCTTTTGAGTATAACCACTGGAAAAAGAAATTTTTCTCATGGATTTCGGCGAGGACGAATCTTTCGAAGAGTGTCGGGAGATATTTTGTGAGGTCGAATCGTTAATGTTTTTTTCATCAAATTGTATCGGTGAAATTTCGTAATCATTTGATCCTGATGTGTGTTCCTTGAAAATCGCAGATGATTCTTCTTTGGAATTCACAGTATTCTGACTTTTTCGCGTAATCAATCGTGCTATGTGAAATTTTTTTGCACGAGATGACTTGAGTGCTTCATTAAAAACTTGGTTAGAACATTCTGAACTTGGAAAGAAAACAGTTCTCGATCGATCGTAATAGAACTTGATGGTTACATTTTTCGTTCTCGGTTACACATTCCGAACCACTAGCAGAGTTCCCGCTGTCATAGGTGGATTCTCTCTGATGAGTGGGTGTGAAGGTACCCTCAGTATATTCTGGTAGCTCAGAGTACTTTCTTGCTGCTTCGGGGTTTGCACTCTGCCACAGTTTTACAAACATTTCGTACGCGGTATCACGTGAAAGGAAAGAGGCGAAGAAATACTGTTCAAATTAACCAAGTGGTAACATAAGTAAGTTTTATCAAGTAACAAGAGAAGCAGTAATTTGGGATTCTACGTGATCTCTACCTTAGATTTCGCAGTTGTAATTAATATGGCGTTTGGTATGACAAATGCCGTCATCTTTTTTTCAATGTTGACAATCTCAGAAAATGGCATTATCAACTATATAATATTTGAAACACATTTGTCAGCATGCAATAATAAGATCGAATAGTCTGGAATCACGATTATTGATCGTCCCACAAATTTGATTTGATTTGACTTGATATACCTACGTTGGTAGTCCACCCAAAGATATTCGCGTGAAAACAAATGTGATAAAGCGAGACATAAATCCTACCCTGAGCAAGAATTTCCTTTTGCAACGCGCACCCATAATCTATGGACAAAGAAAAACGATCAACCGTCGATTCATTCAGGAAGATATTTTAAAAACAATAACTTACCATTCAAGAGAAATTCATCATGAGGAATGCATTTAAAGAAAGAATGAAATTCCTTGTTCCTCTTTGGGTTCGCCATCGCATATCCAGTAACGACAGAACCGTCATTAACCATGAAATCCGAATTCGATAATCTCTTGGCTCTCTTTATCAATTTTCTGGATTTCGAGACAAGCGACTTTTTCCTAGCAATTATTTCAGAGTCAAGGCTTGTGCATCTGCTGTGCTTATTAGATCCAATACTTGAAGACCTACTTAAGCTTTCCTTGTTATTGTGATTGTTACCTTGGGTAGTTGGAGAAGGTAAAGGGGAAGAATTTGAAGATTCTATGAGAGTTGGATCGCCCTTACGATTGCTTTCACCTTCAGGTATCACCGACTCGATTGGTGATGGGGTTTTATGAGGATGTGAGGAGGCAGATGTTGAGGAGTTCACAGAATCTTCTGATGTCCTATCACGAGTAATCTGGTTTCCTTTGACACCTTCCAAGGGTTTTCTTGCATTTTCGTCATCAAGAGATATTGGACCGAGGTGTTCAAGAGAACCACCATCATCCTTTGCTCCGAGATTACCGACATCGATCTTTTTGTCGTCCGAGTTATTTGCCTCTGATGTTGACAGGGTAGGACGCCGCCTCTTAAATTTTAATTCTTTCATAACTTTCACACTTTCGTTGTCAACGATATCTGAAGAATTGGTTGTTGTATCCTGAGTTCCTTTTGATGCTTTGGACTTGGAAGATTTACGTGAGACTCTCATGTTCAAAGAATAAGTCATTGAAGTTGTATCCTGTCCGAAACCGTCTGCTTTAAAAGTATCACTTAAATATTGTCTTATATATTTAGGAGTATTTATGAAAGTTGTTAGGCTTTTAACTGATGAAGTGGGAATGTTATTGACTAAGTCTGGGGATTTTATGTCTTCCGAATAAGAGGTGAGTGGTGGTGTGGATGGCGAAGGTGATGGATTAGTTAAAGATTCATTTTCTTCCGAATGAATAACTAGCTTTATAGATTTTTTGTTTTTGTCCAAAGTTCCAGGTGGAGATATTGTGACCAGATCACTATGAATTTGGTCCAATTTATAATGTCCATTGGGACTATCATTATTAAACGATAATGCTGCGTTTGTTTGCTCCATACGTAACAGGTGTGCCTGCAAAGAATCGATGAGTGTATGCTCAAAAAAGAAATAATATAAAACAATAAAAAAAACAATAAGTTGATGCCGTAAAAGGACCAACTATTTATCCTCTGAATGATAATAAATGTCCAGGATAGATACAGTATATATAATGCGTAAGTAAAATAATAATAGGACCGTTGAATCCGTTAAAATGGATGGATGGATGAGATGTATAGGTGGGATTTTTATGCGGAGTGTTGACCGGTCTATTTTTGTACCTGAGACTTAAGGGTAATTTTTTTTTAAATGAGAGGGCACATATTACGCATATGATATGATGGTTCGATCGAATGTATAACGTGACCAGGTAAGCGGAAGTTAGCAACGAGAAAAAAGAAGAGTTCGTGGGCCGATAACTCGATTGGTGTTAATATTATATAACACATATACTGTATATGCATGCATATGTATATGTTATTATCTTTAATCTTCGTTTCTTAAGTAGATATGTAATTGGAACGAGTCCGTCTCTTTATTTAGCTCAATGATAATATGAAGAATGGATTTCTCCGAATATGGGGAGGGTAGAACAGGTAGCCAGTTTCCTTCCCCCCTTTCTTTTACTCTCAGAGTTCACAAAAGTTTAGTAATAATGATGGTCAATGATGATGATAATAAATCTAATAAATCACATATGTACAGGATAATCTCTCCGGACTTTATAGGTTGTGAGATTCCTTTTTATCTACATTTTTGTGTCACCAATTTTAATGTGGTCGTGCTACAACGACGTTGTAAACAAATTCTTGGTTACCAGTTACAGATCACCAGTTGATTCTACAATGGGAACGAGGGTGGCGTATGAATGTGGCGCGTCAGGAGGGAATCACGGAGTCAATACACCGACTAAAATATCTCTTTTCGCCCATTTGTAAATGTTTGAATTACATTTTGGATTTTCGGTGCGACATTTTCTATCAATGAGATGGCGTTGAAAATCTTTTTTTTATAATTCACATTTTAATTACGTTTTTGGTTTTAAGTTGAGATGAATTCTTATCAAAAATGCAGTTAATTAATTTTTTTTATCAACTTTCGGTCGTCATGTTTCTGAAACAAAAAGGAGATATTGAGGCGAAAATGTACACATATTTGTTTACTGTACACCGTGTAGTTGCTTCAATAATTCCCCAGATTTCTTGACTATCTTACGTAGTGTGGATTGAAACGGGCCGTACCACGATTCAAGATAAATGGAGTCAAAAATCGACCGCACGGAAAAATATCGGAACGAGAGGTAATATGCACGAAAGATTAGTCAAATGAGGTTATCGGTGCCAAACTCTTTCTAGGTAATGGATAAAAATGTTCGTTCACATGTTAAGATATCTGGTAACTTCGTACATCCCTACCGCGCAATTCTCGTTTCTTTACCTGAATTCGCGTGAAATTACTCCCGAGGGTGGAAAAGTTATTCCAGAATAATATTAATCATAATGATTTCTCATATTTGGATTACCTAACGTTACACGAGGATCATAAATATTCCAATATTAATGAGATTTTTTTACTGAGATACAGCAATAGCTGCCATTCGATCTCGCCATTAAATAGTCAAAGAACGGACCGACGGTTGTTTGATCAATTGGCGTTATCCATGACTTCCCGAATGTCATACGATACAATACACGCTGTGTCACGTGCTTTAACTAAAGGATACCGTGTTCTGAGTATAGAAATTGTACGTTCTTTTTCTTTTTTTTTTCTCAATCAAATTCTCGGCTTCATTGTTTAACCTTTATAGGTAAGGCGGTATTCCCAATGAATGGTTGTAATTCAATTAAAAACGCGAGATTAGTAATATACTCTAACATTGGTATGCGCAGAATCTCAATGGCGAGCTTGTGCAGCTTCTGCATGAGGTGCAGATAAAGAATTGAACAATCTTCGTAAAAATTAACCTTCATAAGTCTTTGGCCAAAGAAATTTTTTCTATTGTGATGATCAGATGGCATTTGGATCCTACGGCCGAAAAGAAAAATAACAGCTGCTGACATATGTGTAACAATAAGGATCTTTTTTTTAAATACTATTAATATTGATTTTTTTAGTAATTATAAGTAATATATACGTAATACCTTTTCAGAAATTTGCGATAAATAAATACGTACTGTACGGTATATACCGTGTATACGTGTACTGTACAGTATATATTGCTGTTTTTTAAAAATAATTTTTATAATTTTTTTGTAAAATTTGACGAAATAGTTTTTTAAAAACGTTTAAGCTTTGAAGATTATTTAAAAAATTGATTTTTCATCTATTTGTTTTATTTTTTTAATACGTAATAAAAATTTTATAATCACCATTTAAGAATATTAAAAATATTTTACAAAAATTCATGAAAATTTGTTTCATTCTATAATTAATTGATAAGTTTTTCCTTTCTTAAAAAAAAAAAAATTTTTTTTTATAAACGGTACCTTTGTTTTCATTATTATTAAAATCAAACATAATCATTTAAATTAGATAAAAACTTTTTCTATGGATTCTTTTACTAATTCAAAAAACAAATATTTCTAAAAACATCTTATACTTTTATAATAAAAATATATATACCTGTATATATTTTCTTTACCAATCCCGACTCGTTAATTAATAAATTTACTGTTCTTGTTTCTTTCAAAAAATAAAAATATATATATATATTTTCTTTACTAATCCCGACTCGTTAATTAATAAAATTACTGTTCTTGTTTCTTTCAAAAAATCTTTATAATTAACTTTTAATAAATATATAACTATATAATAATAATAATTTTATTATAACTAATTTAAATTTATTTTTATTTTTATAAACACAAAGCCTTGGAACTTATCTTAGTCACTTATAAAACCTGAATTTAAATCAGCTCAACAACAAAAAAATATATTTCAACTTTGTTTAATAATGTTTATTGTAAAAGTCTTAAAGAAATTATTGGTAACTTTAAAAAACCAATAATCTTTAATATTTAATTTTAAATATTAACAGAAATTCAGACTTTATTAAAATCGAAAAAGTATTTATTTATATATTTTAACTTTATACAATATAAAAATATAAAAATAAATAAATATAAAAATATAAAAGGAAATAAAATAAATAAATAAATAAAAAATAGCAATAACCTATGAATCAATATTATAGTAAATAATATTTCCAGGTCTTCAAATATATGTTTCTAGTTTAATATTTATAAGGAACAAATTGCATAAACATTACTTTTCATAGTAAGTTTATCAGTTTTTTTATATATGTTATATCCAAATATCCAGATCATTTTTAAATTCAGTTAAGCTACATGAAAATAGAATCTCTGGTTTGTTTGATAATCACAGGTTAAAAACAAGTCAAAACAAAAAAAATTATATAAAAAAAAGCTTCTGATTAAACTTCTATTATAAGCTTACATTATCTTTTAACATAACAAACTTCATAGCAAAAAATATATTAATTCAATCAAGACAATTTTCAAGAGAATCATTATACAAATACTAATATATAAATGATACTAGTGGTAACTTTATAGAAATTGCATTTTGCTTAATATTTATACTTTTAAATTTGACAGTTTAAGTCAATTAAAAGTCTATAAAGTATCTATCAAAAGATTTAAAAAATCATACTTTACTTGATTATCTAAACTTCAGATTTGATAATATATATTAACTATAGGATCAACTTTTGAAACATTTATTAGGAAGTATAAATAAGTAAGTTTATAAATATATTGTAATTGTATAAGCTGAAAATGTGAATATAATAAGAAATCTAATAATAATTAATATATTAATTAAAGTCAAATATTATATAAGTATAAATTAAAATATAGATATATTTATAAAATATAAGTTGGTATTCTGATAAATAAATAAAGTAAATAACATTAATTAATAAAACTGTTTATATATTGATTATTTTTAATTAAAACAATAAAAATTATATATATATTATATTTTGACTTTAAAAAAAAAACAAATATACAATATATACTTTATAGTTTTATAATTTTAATTTAATTATATTAAAATTGTAATATATATTTAATAATTGTTTAAAATTATATCTTAAATTTGTAAGTTATCAAAAGTAAATTAAATATTTTTTGAAATATTCAAGTTACTAAGTATAATATAAAACTTGTAATATAATTACAAATCAAAATTAGTGTATTTATTTTCAAATTAAATATCCAAATTCCAAAAGTAATTGGTCATTACTCTTCTATTAAAAAAAATTATTTGATTACATAATTTTATAAATATATTGTGAATGGGAAAGGTATAATGAGGAATGGACGCGTAACGCGATTCACGCGTCGCGTGTCTAAAACCCAGATATGTGATGTTGAAAATGGAGTAGTTTAGATGATAGTTTATTAGTAAGCTTAAAAAGTCTAA